TTTGTTTTCTATGTCTGTGAGTTTGTTTCTGTTTTGTAAATAAGTTCATTAGTGTCGTTTTTTAGATTCCACATATAAGTGATATCATATAGTATTTTTCTTTCTCTGTCTGGCTTACTTCACTTAGAATGACAATCTCTAGGTCCATCCATGTTGCTGCAAATGGCATTTATTTCATTCTTTTTTATGGCTGAGTAGTATTCCATTATATATATATTATATATATATATACACCACAACTTCTTTATCCAGTCATTTGTTGATGGACATTTAGATTGCTTCCATGTCTTGGCGACTGTAAATACTGCTGCTATGAAAACTGGGGTGCATGTGTCTTTTCAAATTAGACTTTTCTCTGGATATATGCCCAGGAGTGGGATTGCTGGATCATCAGGTAAGTCTATTTTTAGTTTTTTAAGGAATCTCCACACTGTTTTCCATAGTGGCTGCACCAAACTACATTCCCACCAGCAATGCAGGAGGGTTCCCTTTTCTCCACACCCTCTCCAGCATTTATCTTTTGTGAACTTTTGAATGATGGTCATTCTGACTGGTGTGAGGTGATACCTCATTGTAGATATGATTTGCATTTCTCTGATAATTAGCAATACTGAGTATTTTTTCATGTGCCTATTGGCCATTTGCATGTCTTCATTAGAGAAATACTTGTTGAGGTCTTCTCCCCAATTTTGGATTGAGTTGGTTTTTTTTTGTTATTAAGCTGTATGAGCTGTTTGTATATTCTGAAATTAAGCCCTTATCAGTCGCATCATTTGCAAATATTTTCTCCCAGTCCGTAGGGTGTCTCTTTGTTTTGTTCATGGGTCCCATTGCTGTGTAAAAGCTTATGAGTTTACTTAGGTCCCATTTACATACTTTTGCTTTTACTTCTATTGCTTGGTTCCTACTTTGAACAGCAAAGGCGGTAGAACTTGTATCTCAGCCAGAAAAAGAAAGGGACATCCAGGCCATGTTGAAACGTGGGGAGGGCTTAGTTCAAAAGAGATGCAGAGAAGATGATCAGCATCCCAAGAGCCACTCTAAGAGCAAATGATGAGACTCAGGGCTGGAGGAGGGGGTGAGGAGGGGTGAGCAATGTCTTTCCTTCTAGGTCTGGAGGCCCCGGTGAGTGACAGATGTTTGGGACTCACTTGGTTGGTTGGATTTTTGTGCCCCACCCTCCAGGGACTAACTTGGTTGGTTTTTGCTTTTGTGTTGTTGTTGGTTTTTTTTAATGGCGGTGCTGGGGATTGAACCAGGACCTTGTGCATGCTAAGCATGAGCTCTACCACTGAGCTGTACCCTCCCCCACCAGGGACTTACTTGGGACAGAAGTCAGGATGCTGGGAGGAAAAGGAAGCAAATGGAAGAGGAAGAGGCCAGATAAGGACTGGGGGAGAGGCAACAAAAGCGACATTGTGTTGAGAGAGAGAGAATGTTCTGGCAATCTTCTCAGGTTGAAAATTAGAGGGAGTTCACCCTGGCCTAGACAAAAGAAGAGGCCAGGGCTGTGGCAAACTCCTACTGAAGCTCTTTTCGCACTGGAGAGCATCTTGGTGCCCTCCAACTAACCTATGGAATCGCAGACAGTCCCACCTGATTATACACTGTTTTAAAAGACATATCCTGTATGAGGACATTTGGTCCCTGCAACAAAAAAGGAGAAAAAGGTTTTGTGCTGAGTGAAAATTTCCAGCACCCAAAAAAGGAATGTAGTGATTTTGAAACCCAATGCTTAGCCATGTATTTGAGGTCAATGGACAAACATTCAAAGCCAATTTAAAGCAGACTCTTTTACATACATCTGCTGTCTTGGAGCGGCTCTAAAAGTGTACACACACATATTTTGTAAGTTGTGGTTCTCTGCATCTGCCTGACTGTCTCTTCAATTTGGGGGACAATGGCTTGTGCTGTGACGTCACTTCCCTGATGGATCTAAGAAGAATTGTTGACTTTTCAGCTTCTTCCACTTTTTACTTGTTAGGGTGAAGTGGCGACTGCTAACTCCTGACATGCCAGACTAGAAATCACACTTTATTTTCTCACAGTTACGGTGGCTCGGGAGTCCAGGCACCCTTTGGCTGAGTCTCCCATCGCAGGGTCTCTCAATGGCTGCCAGTTAAGATGTTGACCAGGGCTGGGTGTCATCTGAGGGTGTGAGTGAGGAAGGATTCACTTCTAAACTTAGACGTTTATTGGCGAGTTTCCGTTCTTCACAGGCTATTGGCCAGAGGCCACCTTGCGTTCCTTGCCACCTGGTCCTCCCCACAGGGCAGCTTACAACATACGGCTGAGTTCATTAAAGCCAGCAGGAAGGATTCTGCTGCAAAGACAGACGTCCCAATCTTTGTAACCTAATCACTGGACTGGTAACTCATCACCTTTGCCGCATTCTTTTGGTTAGAGGCAAGTCACAGGTCCTGCCCACAAGCAGTGGAAGGGGATACACAGAGAGAGAACTCCAGCAGGTGGGGCTCACGGAGGACGCATCTTAGGGTCTGTCCACCACAGCTGCTCTCAAGGTTGTGTGCTGGGGCGAGGGAGCTGCAGTGTCCACCCCTGTCCGTCAGCCAGGAAGGGCTGCCTCTGGGGTGGGCACTTAAACTCCCAGGCACGTCTGGCCCCCCAGGCTTCCTGAGATCACTGGCGTAGTGAGTTCCTGCCACCTGAGGTGGTCCCAGGCTGCCTGTTGGGGGTGGGGGAGTATATTAATGGGGTGCAAGGCTGACATGGCTGGAGTACAGACAGCATCTGTGTCCTTTCTTTTCAGAAATAAATTTGCTGGGTTTTACCCTGTGGAGTGGACAGAACTGCTCCAGGTTAGTTACAGGGCTTTAAGAGGATAAAACGTTTTGCTGTGGCTTGTATCTTGGCATTGGGCCCCGTTTCTGTCCCCTGGAGAATTCAGCAGCTCTGCAAATACTTCACATGATGAATGGGCTTTGAACCGGGGCTTAGAACCCCGAGAGTCTCATTTGTGGTTTTTGTCGGGGATCGACCTCCCCGAACAAAACATGAGAGTCCTGGCTTCTGAAGGAATCTCGTCCTCTGCTCTGAAAAAGCAACAGAAACTGATGGGTTGAAAAATAATGCGGAAAAGTACGACTTCAGCTCTGCAGTGGTCAGAGAGTGAGTCTGTCAGCTACGTGGTCTCAGCCTGGGAAGAGGTGAGACCAGAAGAGGGAAGGAGAGGGCGGGGCTTGTGTTCTGAGAAGAAGGAGGAAACCAAATTAATCTGAATATTATTACCCCACTGCCTTCCGTGCGTTGGCAGCATCAGGTACTTGAAGTCATGCTTAACACTCCCGTCCACCCACCTTTTTATCTCTAGTTTATGCATAAGGGACCAGAAGAGGCGAGGAAACTTGTCCAGGGTCACGGAGGTGGCAGAGTTGAGAATCAAACCCAGGAGGATTACACCGTAAGCTCCGGAGGGGAACTGGGGGCTCATTTCCCTGTCAACATGTCTACAACCGGGTCAGACCGAGGAAAGCAGTTTCGCCACACACCACCTGGAAGCAACACTTTTGAGAAGCTGGAGGCAGCAAGTTGAATTTGATGCCATCCTCGCACTTTCAAGGAAGTGAGTGAGTGTGGGGGGGGCGGGGTGAGGCGAACAGATGGACAGGCATGTATACATGTTACGTGTTTCAAGCTTTGTTTACTTGTTATGTTTCTTTTTGAGCACACTACACTAATACAGTGAAATGGAATGATTATCTCTGGGCAGGCTGTATCCTCTGGAGTCCCCACGCATACCAGACTGTCCAGTCTCAGATACCTCACAAAAAGGACTAAATCCACTCGTTAACCACAGACTTCGGTTGATTTTGAAGTGACTGCTTCACGGGTACTTCAGGGGCCCCGAGCAGGGAACAGGAAATCCACAGTAACCTCAAGGGCTTGGCTTGCGGTGAGAACTACCACGTGGCGGTGCGTAACACAAGCTGGCGTGCAGCTGGCCGTGCGCACCGCTGGAACGTTTGTCTGGTACACGCACCAGACGGCAGCTCAGTATCAGAGGGACTGAAAGGCACTCACGGAGAAAGTGTGGGTCCTTCATTCCTGGGGAGGGGGGACCTGATGGCTTAAACATGATAGCTCTTCCCCCGAAGTCTTTGAGTCTGCATTGCTCATGGCTGAACATCTCGAGTAAACCCAGTCCACAGCCCCAATCTCTCAAACCTGTGACAGTTCTTCAGTCTATGACACGGATCAGAAAACTTATTAAGAGGCTCCATATTTTAGCCTTTGCAAGCCTCACAGTCTGTTGCAATCACCCAGCACTGCCATGGGGGCCCCAGAGCAGCCATATGCAGAAGGTCAACGGATGGGCGTGGTGTTGTACCAATAAAGCTTTATTTACAAAACCAGACAGCCGGCCCTTGGGCTGTAATTGGTCTTTTGTGTCAAACTAAGCACACCAAAATAATAATAAAGTAAGAAATATGTATGGGCTTCTGTCATGTGTATTTGCTAGATCTGCTAGATTATTTGATTCTATTTTAGAAAACATGAGAAGCTCTGAAGAAGCAAGCAGCTCATGAGACACATGAGACGTCTTAAGTAAGCAGAGCGTGTGGGCGCTGTGCAGAGACACAAGGGGACTGCAGGATCAGGACCTCAACATTGGTAAGGTCGTAAGTTGGCCATCACCGGGGACACACATCCTGGCCACTCGCCTCTGCCTGAGAAACACAGCAAGCGCTACACCTGCGGCTGGCGAGCTTGCCCAAGGTCTCCCAGCCATCAGGCGGCCTGGACTGCAGGCACCTTCTGCTGCGGAGCCCCTCGCTCACCGGCAGTTGTGGTGCTCCTGACCGCACGGGCAGCAGGGCAGGCTGCCGAGGCAGAGAGAGGCACATGCTCACCCGGGAACTCAAGATTAAGGTAATGTAGCCCTTCCCCTCTGCTGCATCCCACCCTACATGCGTCCAGGTACCCACCTTCCCCCCCTTTCTCTTAGTGCTTTAATCACTTAATGTCGTGACTCGAGCATCTCCATCTGGTCTCAGGGACAGCCTGGCCAGTTATGAACTTGGTGGCCCCCACTGAATCAAAGTGACTTCCCACAGAACACCTTTGAATCATAAAACTGGCCATATTAGAAGAGTCGGTCAGGGGGAGGGCAAAGCTCAGTGGTAGAGCGTGTGCTTAGCATGCATGATGTCCTGGGTTCAGTCCTCAGTGCCTCCATTAAAAAAAATAATAATAAATAAATAAACCTAATTACTGCCCCCTCCTTCCAAAAAAAACAGAGTCAGTCAGGAAAAGGAAATTTTTCTGGGTAACGGTGAGAAACCTGGCAGCCACTACCTTACCCTTGAGGTCAAGGCGACCGTTGCCAGTGACAAGCCATGTGGATGTCAAGTACCCCCGATGTGGTGTGCTAAGGGGGCTGCTTCACCTCGGCATGTTCCTCCCCAAATCCATAACCCAGTCTAGTCATGAGAAAAAAGTCAGACGAGCCCACACTGGGGAACTTTCTGTGAAATACATGACCAGTGCTCCTCAAGGCTGTCCACGCCATGAAAAACAAAGAAAGATCACAGACCAGAGGAGGCTAAGGAGATGTGACAACTAAATGCAATGAGCGGTCCTGGGACATTCGTGCACAGACGGGAAATCCAAATAGAGTCAGTGAAGTCGGGAGCTTAGTTACTAGTAACGTACTGATGTTACTTTCTGAGTTTTGACAAAAAAAGCATAGTTATGAAAGATGTATTCAGGGAAATCAGGTAATGGGTATGCAAGCTCTTTCTGTATTATCTTTGCAACTCTTTTGTAAATCTAAAATTATTCCAAAATAAAATAAAATGTAGTTTTTAAAATCCAGTAACGCAACAGTTCCTGCAGGCCTTCTACAAATGTAATTAGCAAAAGTAAAGAAGTATCATAATTAATTAAATTTTTAGAAACTTGCTGTCTGTGCCTGGGAGAAATCTCTCGGTTGTAGTAAAAATTCTGCCACCTTTCAGACAGCCGTCCTCAGTTACTTCCTGTTATTTCTACTGCTAGTCAAATACTTCTACATTCCTTGAAGTTCAAATAGATTGAATTGAAACAAATATTTTGGCCAGCGGCCTGTGAAGGCATTTCCAGCACCCAAATCAGCAGCCCTCCAACACGAAAGAGGCAAGTCGCTTTCGTTTCCAGGGCCCCTCCTTCCCACGCAGCACCTGAGTTATTTCAGCTCTAAGGATGTACAGACAGTTGGTCCCTTTCTCCTTGTGTGTGCGCTTGTGATTGTGTTGTGGGTGAGAGGGAGGGGACGGAATAACCTTTTTTTTTTTAAATGAAGTACAGTTACAATGTGTCAGTTTCTGGTGTACAGCATAATGTCCCAGTCATGCATATATATGCATATATTCGTTTTCATATTCTTTTCCATTGTATTCAGATATTGAATATAGTTCCCTGTGCTATACAGAAGAAATTTTTAAAATCTATTTTTATATATAGTGGTTAATTTTTGCAAATCTCAAATTTTATTGAGCCTCCACAGTGTCCAGACCCTCCTGGCTGTCGTTTTATTCCGTGGTTCTTAAAGTGTGCTCTCAAACGAACGCACAAACTCAGCATCGTCAGGGGAGCTCGTTAGAAGGTCAAGTCCATGGAAGCCTTGTATAAATATCTTTACTGTTTTTTTTCCCCCTCAAAATGTGGTGTTTGAAGCTAGAAAGGCATTCATTGCATAACCACGCAAATGATACCGTAGTGAAGGAGCAGAAAGTTCATCTTGCATTTGGGAAGACCAGTATGTTCAAGGATGTGTCACCAAAATCTCCAGTGCAAGATTGTTTTTTGCTGCTTGGAAATTGTTTGTGTTAGTTTTCACTAGAACAACCTGGATGATATGTGGGACCTGTTTTTATGCCATGATTTAGTTGGCAGATCTATTCCCAAGTTACAAGTGAGCTGGGTCCTAGAAGGTGCTCAAGATTTGAAAAAGATATTCCCCAAATATAATGCTACAAAGGAAGGTACGGCTGCCCGGCTGGCCTCACCACTCCTGTTCTGTCAGGAGCCCCAAGCCCCGCCCCTGGAAGAGCTCTGATCTCTGGCCCTTGACCTCAGCTGAGGGTCACCGCAGTGGGGGCGGGGAGCGGACATGGCCTGGCAGGGGGCTGCTTTTTAATCCTGCCTTTCCTTCCTCCTTCCCTCCATCAAGTCTCCCTAATTTTGAATTTTGAAGCAGAGGTTAAGCTTCTGGTCCCTCTGAGAGCCCTGGGCTTCTTTTTTCTTCAAGCAGAGGAGCCCACCTAGTACCAGAGACCCCAGGGAGAGAGAACTAATCCTAAAGCAGCCCCTGAGATCCTGAGTCCCAGGTTAGATCTGCAGGACAGCAGTGACAACAGATGATTTTTCTCCTCTACTACTCATTCCCCAGGTGAAAGTGTTTTCTCTCTGGCAAAGAAGTCACCGCCATTCCAAATCCTTGCTGGGATGACAGGGAATGGGGGCTCCCTTAACCTGAGCGGGAAACCTGGGTCAGGCCTGCATTTGTGGTTTTAAGCCAAAAAATTTCAGGATAGTTTGATATGAAGTGACATTTTCAAGTGTCCTGGAGAGTCAGCCCACTGCTCAGCCCTCTTGCTGTCGGGCTAGCTGTTTCTGCCCTCTGCCCCTGTTGGCGCAGACAGTCTGTTCCCTGAAACGCAACCTGAAAACAAGATACAGATCTCTCTTTTGTAGGCATCCCAAATCTTTTTAAATTGAAGTGTAGTTGATTTACAGTACTGTGTTAGCTTCACATGTACAACCGAGTGATTCAGGTATGTGTATATATATATATATATATATATAAAAGGTTTTTTAATGTTATTATATATATAAATTTATATATATAAAAATTTCTTCTGTATAGCACAGGGAACTATATATATGTATATGTATATATATATATACACATATACATATATGTATAAAGGTTATTTTCCATAAGTTATTACAAGATTCTTTTGTATTTTTTTTATTGAAATACAGTCAGTTTACAATGTTGTGTCAATTTCTGGTGCACAGCACAATGCTTCAGTCATACATGAAAATACATATATTCGTTTTCATATTCTTTTTCACCATAAGTTACTACAAGATATTGAATATAGTTCCCTGTGCTATACAGTAGGACCTTGTTGTTTATCTGTTTTATATACAGTAGTTAGTATCTGCTAATCCCAAATTCCAAATGTACCCCTCCACCCTCCTCTTTTCCCCTTGGTAACCATAAGTTTGTTTTCTATGTCTGTGAATCTGTTTCTGTTTTGGAAATAAGTTCATTTGTGTCATTTTTTAAGATTCCACATATAAGTGATATCATGTGATATTGTCTGTCTTTGTCTGACTTACTTCACTTAGTATCATAATCTCTGGGTCCATCCATGTTGCTGCAAATGGCAATATTCCTTCTTTTTAATGGCTGAGTTGTATTCCATTGCGTATATATGCCACATCTTCTTAAGCTGAATGTCTGTTGATGGGCACTTGGGTTGTTTTCATGTCTTGGCTATTGTAAATAATCCTGCTTTGAACACTAGGGTGCACATATCTTTCTGATTTAGACTTTTTGTTTTTGTCTGGATATATGTCTAGGAGTGGGATTGCTGGACCATATGGTAGCTCTATTTTTAGTTTTTTGAGGCATCTCCATCCTGTTTTCCATAACTGCACCAAACTACATTCCCACCAACAGTGTAGGAGGGTTCTCTTTTCTCCATACCCTCTCCAGCATTTCTTATTTGTAGACTTTTTGGTGATGGCCACTGTGACTGGTGTGAGGTGATATCTCTTTGTGGTTTTGATTTGCATTTCTCTGATAATTAGCTATGGTGAGCGTATTTTCACGTGCCTTTTGGCCATCTGTCTGTCTTCCTTGGAAAATTGTCTATTTAGGTCCTCTGCCCATAGCACCCCAAATTTTCCTGACAGCTGCCCTTGGAGCAGTCCTCACCAGGCTTGAGGTGGGACCAAGCTTCCCCAGGCACCACCTGGGGTCAGCACATAACTAGTCTGTCCTGCTGCTCCTCGTGAGGGCACTTAGAACCCCCAGTGTGAGCTGTGGGGCAGCCAGGGTTCCTCCACACTCACAGGGGAAGTCCTGTTCATTGTCCTGAACACCTTAGAGTGATTTCCATGTCTGCAGTAAGCTGACCAGTGTTCCCCAAAGATGACCGGTCCTAATCTCCGCCACCTGTAATCGCTACTATAATTGGTAAAAGGGTCTTTGCAGATGTGATTAAATTAAGGGTGAAGAGATGACCCTTGATTCTCTAGGAGGGCCTTTAGGGCATCACAAGTGTCCTTATGGGAAAGCGACAGAGGGAGGTGGGACCTAGGTGGAAGAGGATGCTGTTGACCACAGAGCAGAGACCGGAGTCCTGCTGCCACAGACCAGGAATGCCAGTAGACCCCAGAAGCTGGAAGGGACAAGGAACAGATTCTCCCCTAAAGCCTCCAGACCCTGCGGACACCTTCATACCAGACTTCAGGCCTCCCAAAGGGAAAGAGTTCTCTTGTTTTAAGTAGTTGCTCATACTTTGTTACAACAGCCCTAGGAAATGAACATATCCTCCAAAGGCATCTCAAATTCACGCTGCCCAAATAAAACTCATTATTGCCTGCCTTCACCTGTTCTTCAGCCCCAAATTCCA